ATATACCTCGGTGCAAATTTGTATGAACAATTGCACATCATGTCAAAATCAATATTCATGTGATAACTGTCATGATGAGAATGTTTACGTTAATGCAAGTTGTAAGCATTTCACTTCTATTGAGTTTTGTATTGAAGCTAAAAAAGGAGCTTGTTCGATGTGTGTTGAAGGCAAAAAGCCGAGTGATGATGGTCTTTCATGTACAAACAAAGTGAATTTGGGATTGGCAATTGGTCTCCCTGTTGTATTTGTAGTCTTGATAATCATTTTGATAGCTTTGACGATTGTTGGAATGTATTTCTTATATTTGCACTTCAGAGAGGAAAAGAAAATGATAAACGTTTGTGTATTCAAAATGAACCGCTCAAATGTTATTTTTGAAAGGGTGAATGATTGGCTTGTAGCTAATAAAGAGAAAGTGACTTTTATCGACGAGAACAATGCAAATAATGAAATTCCCGTCAACAAAGAAACACGTGACTTATTCTGTGTTGGCAACAAGTCTAAAAATCCAATGAAGATTCAATTTAGTGTGATGAAAGGGTGCGATTACTACACAATTCGAACAGAACCAGCTTTGGTAAATTTAAAAAGTGGAGAGGCGTGTGAATTTGAGATATTTTTGACACCACTGTGTTCGTGTAAAATCGAAGAGAAAATTGTATGTGTTGGTCTTGATATCAAGAAAGGTGTTGAAATGACAGAACACATTTCAATCAATGCAAAGACAGAAATGACAACACGACTTGATTATCATGAATTAAAAGAAGAAAAGAAACTTGGCGAAGGTTCATTTGGCATTGTCTATTTGGGAGAGTTCAGAAGTCACAAAGTAGCAATCAAGAAATTACGAGAGGGGTGCAGTGATGAATCGAAAGTCCACGAATTTGAAAAAGAAGTTTCGATGTTAGACAAATTTCGATGTGACTATTTGGTTCACTTCTATGGAGCTGTCTTCATTCCAAACAGAATTTGTATGGTCACTGAATTTGCAGAATATGGCAGTTTAAACGATTTGATGAAAAAGAGAAGAGAACAATCGCCGCGCATGGCAGTCAAAGTGAAATTCATGTTTGACATGGCAAAGGGAATTTCTTATTTGCACAACAATGGCATCGTCCACAGAGACATCAAACCAGACAATTTACTCATCTTTTCTCTGGACTTGGGAACTACAATTAACGCAAAAATGACTGATTTTGGAAGTGCGAGAAATATTAATATGTTGATGACGAACATGACTTTCACTAAGGGAATTGGAACACCAAAGTATATGTCACCTGAAGTGTTGAATAAAGAAAAGTACAAAATGCCAAGTGATATCTTCTCTTTTGCAATTAGTATGTACGAATGTTTCACATGGAAAGAACCATATCCAAAAGAAAATTTCAAGTTTGCGTGGTCCATCGCAGATTTTGTTGCTTCAGGAAAACACTTGGCACAAGTTGACTGTCTTGACGACACCATTTATTCCTTGTTAAACAAAATGTGGTGTTTTGATGGAAAAGACCGATTTAAAATAGACGAAGTCGTAGAAGACTTGCAAATGTATCTTAATGCATTCCAATAAATTTTAAAATTTAACGAGTTTATTTGTAAAAATTGGTCGAAGCCAGTTTGGAAACCTTATTTATTCCAAAAACTTTATTTGTTTTTTCCTTTATAAAAAGAAAATTTGGAATGTTTAATAAATATTATTATTATTTAAACTATTTTTTAATAACACAGCTAAAAACACAAATTGGGTTAAGGTCATTTGGCCAATCATTTCATTTTTCCTGTTTGTTAATATATGGTAATATTTTGGTTATTTATCAATTTTTTACAATAAAAACAATTGTTATAAAAAACGATATTAAAAAATGAAGAATTAAGTGAATTAATTTATTTGGCCCAAGAAGGAGCATTTTGGTGGTGTTTAAAATCATGTCCAGTATATCTGCAATACCCACATGTGTTGGCATGTTCACATTTTTTTCCAGTTGAAATCATGTAACAAGAAGTGCATTGAACGCCTCCACACTTGGGGCAAGTTCTCCATGTGTTTGATGTTCCACAACCAGGGCAGCGCGGCATTTAATGAAATAAGATTGATTTTCCATCTTTAAATACGATATGAATATTTTCGTTTATTTATTCATGTTTTTATTTCATGTTTTGAGTTTACAAACAATGAATAAAATAAAAACTTTTAACTTATAAAATGTATTTTTTGAGTTTTTATGATATTTTTGATTTAAAATACTTCTTTTACTTATAAATACTTTTATTCATCACAAAAATGTCGATACAATACTTCCACATAAAACTTAAACCGATAAACTAATATATATAAACAAAAAACCAATTAATAGATTTTAGTATAAATAAAATAAAAAAACATTTGAAATTTTTAATCTAATAATTGGTATTTATATATATTTTGAACAATAAAAATTTATATATGTCTAATAACAATGTAAAGATAATACAACACTAAAACTTATATCACTAATGATGCATAAAAATCAGAAGCAGTGCAAAATTTACATTATATCAACGCAAGGTTTTTGATAACGAGTTGTGTCTTTACATGTTGAACACACCCAAAACCATTCTAAAGATCATTCCAAACACCATCAACACGTTTATCACATATTTCAAAATGGAAAACTTCTCACATTTTAGAACACTTATATCAATTTGTTTTATTCTTTTAAAATATAAAGGTTTCATGTTTGTCGACACGTTTCATGAGTACTTCTTCATATATTTTCCAGTCACA